CTACAAGAGATTCCAGGAAGTCTTCACAATAGAGCAAGGAGCAGCCCCTGTAATAAATGAAGTGGCGGCAAACCAAGCAAGCCTGTAGGAATTTGAGCTCACCAGTGATAAGGTCAAAAGTAATCTGTTGGAGCTGAATGTGACAAAGGCTGTTGGGCTTGACAGAATCTCACCGTGGATACTAAAAGAGGGTGCAGAAGCACTAAGTTTGTAACTCTCTATGGTGTATAACAGGTCACTGGAAACAGGAGACCTGCCGGAAAGCTGGAAGACAGTTAATGTAGTCTCTATATACCAAAAGAGTGACAGACAAGAGGCACTGAACTACAGGCCAGTTTCCCTAACTTGTATACCATGCAAGGTGATGGAAAAGATCGTGAGGAAAAGGCTCATAGAATATTTAGGGAAAGCTTTGCAACACCACAAGCATAGGTTAAGAGATGGTAAATCGTACCTCACAGGCTTAAAAGAATTCTATCACCAGGCGACAATAATTAGGTAATTAGAAGGGTGGACAGAAGGCATTTTCTTGGACTTGGCGAGTAACTGTTAGTGGGGTGGGGGGTGGAGGATATCGGAGTAGCGAGATGTCACCAGCGAAGTCTTACAGGACTCTGTGTTTGGATCCATCCTGTTTGATACATGTAAACGATCTTCCAGAAGGTATAAACTCATGCCTCTTAATGTTTGCTGATGATGCAAAAATTATGAGAAGAATGAAGAGAGATGAAGATAGACAGAGACTACAGGACGACCTGGACAAAATGGAGGAATGGTCTTGAAAATGGCTACTAAAGTTTAACTCAGGAAAGTGTAAAGTGCTGAAATTAGGCGAAGGGAGCAGGAGGCCGAACACAAGGTACCAGAAGCCCACATCTAAAGGATATCATCAGCGGCATATGGTAGATTGGCCATCATAAGAACTGCCTTTAGAAACTTGTGTTAAGAATCGTTCAGGAACTTGTATTGCACTTATGTCAGACCAATCCTGGAGTATGCAGCTCCATCCTGAAGTCCATACCTAGTCAAACAAAAGACAAAGTTAGTGAGGATTCAGAGGTATGCCACAAGATTAGTTCCAGAACTGAGAGGAATGAGCTACGAGGAAAGGCTACGAGAGCTAAACCTCACGTCCCTGGAAGATAGAAGAGTAAGGGGAGACATGATAACCACCTACAAAATTTCAGGGGAATTGGCAGGGTGGATAAAGACCCTACCAATTTAGCATGATTTGAACATGAACAAAGGAACACAGGTGGAAACTTAGTGCCCAAATGAGCTATAGAGTCATTAAAAATATTTTGTTCAGTGTCAGAGTAGTTAACAAATGCAATGCATTAGGCAGTGATGTGGTGGCGGCTGACTCCATACATAATTTCTAATGTAGATTTGATAGAGCCCAATAGGCTCCAGAATCTGTACACCAATTAATTGACAGTCGAGAGCGGGGATTAAAGAGCCAAAGCTCAACACCCCCAAACACACTTAGTTGCGTACACCTAGGTAAGTACCCACTCTCTGACACGGAAATATCTGGGAATATTTGAGAATGTCCAAGAAAAGCTGAAAGGTTTTGGTACACGAACGCTGACGGAGTTACAAACAAAGCAGAGGATATTAAAGAAAAAGTGAAAATGACCCAGATTTGATTGCAACAGTGCGACCGAAAGTAAGTTGTATGATCTCTGATGCAATATTCCCAGGGGGATTCCAAGTGATAAAGAAAGACAGCAAAGGCAAGGAGGAGGATTTGCACTCCAAGTAAAACTGGAGTGGAAGTTCTAAGAAATCAAGAATTAAAGTGAAACGTATACACACACTATCATTGGGACACTGGCAGTAGATGGAACAAGAATTGTTGTCCTGGTAATTTACAACCCCCAACCAAACATCCGAGGACCCAGGCAGGAATAAGACAACAATAAAGCATGCAGAGAGGCATTGCAACAGTGGCACACAGAAGGAGAGCTAAACTTCTAGTCATGAGGGACCTAAATCATGGAGAGAGACTGGGAATCCAGAAATCCTCATTGTGGAAAAGAAACGTGGGGAGCGAAATTAGTGCAAGTTGTAGAAAGAAACTTCTTTACACAACATGTAAAGGAGGACACAAGTGAAAAGGGGAGGAGATACACCAAGCCTTCTGGACTTGATCTACACTTATACTGAGGAAGACATTGATAACTTATAGCATGACATACCACTAGGAGCAAGTGACCATTGTGTCCTGGTTTTCGACTACATGATGGAACTCAGAACAGTGACCGTAAAACAAGGAGCGAGGGAAGGTAGAGCAAACTATTAAAAAACACTACATGAAAGTAAGAGGGTATCTGGGATGTGTGCAATAGGAGGAGGAACTTGGAGGGAAGAGGATCCAGGAAATGATGGACCAAGTAAACTGAGGTGCAAATAGGGAGAAGAGAGATTCATACAACCATTAAGGGAAAAAAGTAGAACATATAATAACCCGTTGTTCAATAGACAGTGCCTGGAAGCAAAATAAATAAACGTTGGGAGTGAAGGAAATACAGAAGGTAAAGAACTTAGGCAAACCGGATTAGATGCAACAGAGCGAAGAATGACTACACAGACAGAAGATGATTGGCAGAAAGAAACTATGAAATTGATAGTGCCGTCAAATCAAAGAGTCCACAGAAACTCCTACATAACCATATAAGAACGAAAATGACAGTGAGTGACCAAGTTACCAGGTTACACAAAAGGGGAGGCCAATATACAGAAAATGATAAAATAAATTTGTGAGGAGCTCAATGCCAGCTTCCATGGAGTGTTCACTACTGAGACTGGACAGCTCCCAGAGCTAGATGAAGAAGCATGACGAGAAACTATAGATATCGAGGTAATAGCGGAGGAAGAAAGAATACATCTACCATCGCTGGATGTTAATAAAGCTACTGGGCCTGATGAAGAATCACCATGGATGCTAAAAGAAGTACTAATACGAACCAATACGTCTACCAATAATCTTTAATAAGTCACTTTCACAGGGAAAATTGCCCAGTTGCCGGAAGAAGGCAAATGTGGTGCCTATCTACCAGAAAGGAGATAGAGATCAGGCACTTGACTACAGACCAGTGTCGCTCACAAGCATACCCTGCAAAGTACTTGAGAGAATTATGAGGCTAAGACTAGTTGCACACCTAGAAAAAATTAGGTTTGTAAGTAAATAACAACACGACTTTAGAGAAGGAAAATCATGCCTGACGAACCTCTTGGAGTTTTATGTGATACGGTAATGAAAATAGAGACAGAGAAGAATGGGCAGATTGCATTTTTCTGAACTGCAAAAAGCCTTTGGTGCAGTTCCACATAGAAGATTATTATATAAACCTGAGGAACAGGTGGGAGTAGACGGAAACGTGCTATCATGGGTAAGGAATTATCTAACAGACAGGTATCAGAGAGTGACAGTGAGGGGGCGAGGAGTCCGGCTGGCATAGAGTAACAAACAGGGTGCCTCAAGGATCGGTGCTGGGTCCCATTCTATTCCTCATTTATGTAAATGACTGCACGAGTTGTCTTTTATGTCGGTGTTTGCAGATGATGCAAAACTAATGAAGAAGATTGAGACCGATGAGGATTGCAGGGTTCTCCATGATGACTTAAGCAGGTTACAGAGCTGGTCTGAAAAATGGCTGTTAGAGTTCAACACTAACAAGTGCAAGATGATAGAAATTGTAACAGGAGCCAGGAGGCCGAAATGCAAATATACGATGAAGGTGAAACTACCTCCCTATAACGACTAGAAAAAGACTTGGTAGTGGCATAACACCAAACCTAACTCCAGAGGCTCATATAAATAGAATAACGTCAGCTGCATACTCTACTCTGGCAAAAGTCAATTCATCCTTCAGAAACTTGAATAAGGAGGCTTTTATATCACTGTATACCACCTATGTGAGGCCAGTTTTAGAGTATGCCGCCCCAACGTGGAGCCTCCATCTTAAACAACACATAAGGAAGCTCAAAAAGGTGAAGTTTGCAACGGATTACGTACGAAGACAGACGGAAGGAACTAAATCTGACGACTTAAGAGGAGGGACTGGGAGGTACTAAGTTAAAATACCTAAAGGGTGGAAACAGAGGGAATGTTTACAATAAATATCTATATAACAAGGGGAAACGGACGGAAGCTTGAGACTCAGATGTATCATAGAGATGTTAAAAAGTTTTCCTTTAGCGTAAGGGTAGTGAGTAAATGGAATGATCTAAAGGAGCAGCAGAAAAGCAGGGTCAAAGAAATAAAACTGGATCCTGAAGGCCTGAAAAAGGTGAGTACACATACACACACACATTTGCCAGATATATAATTAAAATTTCAAGTTAATAACATCGTTGATAGTGCTTGTACTATTGCCTCGGGATAAAGTCTGGAATGATATGTACAAATAATTGCCATCCTGATCAAAATCCCTATCCTATCTCATGGCTGTTTTTGTACAAAATAAAAATAAATAAAAATATTAATTTCTTATTAAATTCAAGAATAAAAAGCTTTTGAGTTCGGTCATGAAAAAGGAAACTTTTTTTTGGCATGGTGGTTGAAGAATACTTTAATGATTGTGGCTTGATGTGCGAATAATTCTCGTAAGTTTGGTCTTGACATGTATATGAACTTAGAGTTTGTTATGTCAGAAAACTTAATTTAATGTTATGAATAAAGAATACTTTTATTATTTTTTACATGAACAATATATTTGTCACTACATAGAATACTACTTGTAAGTTTTGCCATAATAAAAATACTTAATCAAGTTTTAACAAATAAAAATAATACAAAAATGAGCAGCAGATGATATAACAATATTATTAGAACATTTTATATCATATAAATAGTTAAAAAATACAGAACTGTGGTGATCAGTTTCTTACTGCAATGTTGGTCTTTTTGCTCAGGGTAACATGTATATGTTTGTGAGAACATGGAAAAGAGTTTGTCGGTTAAATATTCTGTAGCTTTTCACTCTTCTCTAAAGTACTCAATTGGAGGCCTTGGCGTGGAAGCTCTGGAGATCCTCCTCCTCACCTTCAACAACGTGGACGTGGAGGAAGCCATCGCCAACACATCTGTGCCACTGGACTATCACGCCATGCCTCTCTGGAGAACCAAACAGACAACGCACGGGGAGTGGCAGGAGGCGCGCGTGACTTTCTCCGCCGTGTCTCAGCACAGCTTGGTGTTCTCCACCTCCCCGGACTCCCGCTACGCCAATTACCACGGCTACGCGGCCGTCGACCACGTCACCTTCACACCAGGACCTTGCCAGAGTAAGTGGTTAGAAATGATGCTAACGCGCACTCTCCTCAGCAGCCAGAGGATGGTTCGGGTTTAGTGTTATATATCGGACACACACACACACACACACACACACACACACACACACACACACACACACACACACACACACACACACACACACACACACACACACACACACACACACACCAGACCTGTTCCCTGAAGCTCAATCAAGAGGATAACATCAGCAGCATATGCCAGGTTGGCTAACATAAGAATGGCCTTTAGAAACTTGAGTAAGGAATCTTTCAGAACATTATATACCACACATGTCAGACCAATCCTGGAGTATGCGGCTCCAGCATGGAGTCCATATCTAGTCAAGCATAAGACTAAACTGGAAAAGGTTCAAAGGTTTGCCACCAGACTAGTACCCGAGCTGAGAGGTATGAGCTACGAGGAGAGACTACGGGAATTAAACCTCACTTCGTTGGAAGACAGAAGAGTTAGGGGGGACATGGTCACCACATTCAAGATTCTGAAGGGAATCGACAAGGTTGATAAAGACAGGCTATTTAACACAAGGGGCACACGCACTAGGGGACACAGGTGGAAACCGAGTGCCTAAATGTGCCACAGAGATATTAGAAAGAACTTTTTTAGTGTCAGGGTGGTTGACAAATGGAATGCATTAGGAAGTGATGTGGTGGAGGCTGACTCCATACAAAGTTTCAAGTGTAGATATGATAGAGCCCAATAGGCTCAGGAACCTGTACACCCCCCAAGCACAACTAGGTGAGTACAACTAGGCGAGTACAAACACACACACACACACATACATACACACACATACACACACACACACACACACACACACACACACACACTCACACACACACACACACACACACACACACATATTATATATATATATATATATATATATATATATATATATATTGTGACGGTGTTCCCCCCTTATATTTCTCCCACGCCTGCAGTAAGAGTCATGTCCACTTTACCCGAGCGTTCTCTACGTCGCAGGCATCAGTTTGGTATATGTGGGAGAAAGTAGTGTTCTCGAAGTGCCGAGAAATTTATAAAAGAAGAGTATTTTGGGCTGTGGTTTAGGCCCTTTAGGAAGCCAATATGGCGCTGGCTCTTCTGTTTTGCCGCCAAAACTGTGTGACGTCAGTGACACCAGATTGGTCACCGACAGCGACGTGGCACAGGGAGCCAATGAAAACCTCCCGTGGCGAATATGACGTCACGAAGGAAGGGGGGTCCGGTCATCGCGCCGCGCTGGCGCCATCAGTCTAAGACTGCACGTCAAGGAGGTCGGACGTGCGCTGGGGGGTCCTGTCAGTTGGACAGTTTACCCCGACTCCGGAGGATTTACGCATCACCCGTGGTCTGCCATCACCTGTGGGGCATCACCTTCGTTCATGTGTTGGACCAGAGAAGGGATTGACAGAATATTGAGCAACAAGTGCTCCAGGAACAGGTGTTGTGCAGGTGAAGACTAGGCAGCGACGTATGCGACGGCTGATAGCTTCACAGTGATGACGTAGTGCCAGGGCCAATCCTCCGGAGGGAATCAGTCTGACACGACACGTCAAGGTGGTTGGACGTGCGAAGATTGGTCCTGTCAGTTTGACAGTTGTTTCCCGCTCCCGTGGATTTTACGTGTCACCCGAAGTCTGCAAGTACTCTGTGAGGTCTTCCTGCGTTCATGTGTTGGACCAGAGAGGGAATCGACGGGATATTGAGCAACAAGTGCTCCAGGACAGGTACTGTGCAAGAAGAAGTGAAGTCTGTGCAGTGACGTATGCGACGTCTGAGGCAGTTCACCCGTTTGTGACGGCGTAGTGGCTGGACCGAGCCACCGAGAAGCAGTGGAAGAGGAAAACTATTCGGGAATCCGAACGACTGCAGCCGAGACGTAGGCGGGCAGCCGTAACTGGGAGGAGAAGTTGACGGCCGGGAGACCGACTCCAACCCTACAAGAAGTCGAGGAGGAGCACGGACCTGCAGTGAAAAGGCACAGAGACGACGCGTTTATGGTGGGACGTTGATTGAGTTCCTGGAGGACACGACAGGGTGTGTGTGGGGGCGTTCCCTACACGAGGCTGGAGCCAGGACCAGGAGCTACAACTCAACTCTCACCGGAGGATAGGTGGAAGTAGGTGATTCTAGTTTCCCTCCCAATTCCCCTTTAGTCAGCTATATTATTTAGCCAGAGGATTTTGTATGTCGTGAGCAAGGCTCACCTATGTCACAGTAAGGCACCAGTGTGCAGAGTGGGACTATATAGAGTGCTCACGGAATTTATTGCTATTATTGGTGTATGCAGGCACCCGGAGTAATTGATGAATTTACTGTGTTGATAACGTCTTTCATGAGACTTTAATATGATTATTTAATGAGAGAATATATATATAAATAGGCCAGTATTTGGAGTTAGGCTATGTGCCCAGTAACTATATTATTACCATTATTGATATCTATGATTCATCCATATATATATATATATATGTCTATGCTTGTGTATTGAATAATCATTCATGTGCCGGCGTGCCGGTCGGCCGAGCGGACAGCACACTGGACTTGTGATCCTGTGGTCCTGGGTTCGATCCCAGGCGCCGGCAAGAAACAATGGGCAAAGTTTCTTTCACCCTATGCCCCTGTTACCTAGCAGTAAAATAGGTACCTGGGTGTTAGTCAGCTGTCACGGGCTGCTTCCTGGGGGTGGAGGCCTGGTCGAAGACCGGGCCGCGGGGACACTAAAGCCCCGAAATCGTCTCAAGATAACCTCAAGATAAGATGTGTGCAGTGATTAATTGTGTTATCGCCCACGAAAGGAATTACTGAGAACTCCAGTGATATATACTTGCATACGTTATCATTAAATGAAGGGCAGTGTGATATACCATGACAGTGAATTATTGTCACCTTTAATATAGAAATGTTTGATTGAGCTCAAGGTCAGTGTAGCTAAGTATTTACGTGCTATTGTCGCAAATATTGTGTGTTCGAACTTCTAGTGATCTTTGAGAATTTAAAGAAACAGAGCGCGTGACGCCAGGAAAACAAGCAATAAACGTTCACACGGCGAGAAGGGCGCGGCCCAGCTGATTTTGACATTGACGCGAGGGGGAGCATTGCCAGCTTGGCGAGTTCATGATTATGTGTGTGGGAACGAGCGACTTCTGCTTGGAACAGCTGTTTGCTTATTTGATATAATCTTGTGATGTCTTTGAATGAGTTTTAAGTAAAATACAAAGTACATTGGTGTTTATATCATCCCCTTCATATTTCTTGTGGCTATATAAAACCTGAAAGCAAATAGGGATAGAAGTAAATACCTGCCTGATATCAGATCTATTGAGTGTGTCCTTGCCACTGTTACCACAATTCAACAAAACCACTGACGTGTTACTGGACACCGGAAACACCAGTTGGCGACCTTGTGGTTAGTAGTAGAGCCCATGACGGGGCGGGCACACAATAGTTAAGTGAACAAGTTGTGTTCCCACTCCTTCTCGATCAGAGGCCGGGTGGGATTGACTGGGATACTCTCCTGGCGTACAGTGGCGCCGCGAGGATTAGAGTGAAGACCTGCAGGGCTACAGTGAGTGACCTTGAGTATACTGTTACTCGCCCCTCTCTTAATGAGGTGAACCCTGACATTGGCGACCTCGCCAAGATTAAGTACTTATACTGTCGCTTACCGAGGAACCCCGACAATATATATATATATATATATATATATATATATATATATATATATATATATATATATATATATATATGTCGTAACTAATAGCCAGAACGCACTTCTCAGCCTACTATTCAAGGCCCGATTTGCCTAATAAGCCAAGTTTTCATGAATTAATGTTTTTTCGTCTACCTAACCTACCTAACCTAACCTAACCTAGCTTTTTTGGCTACCTAACCTAACCTTACCTATAAATATAGGTTAGGTTAGGTTAGGTAGGGTTGGTTAGGTTCGGTCATATATCTACGTTAATTTTAACTCCAATAAAAAAAAATTGACCTCATACATAGAGAAAAGGGTTGCTTTATCATTTCATAAGAAAAAAATTATAGTAAATATATTAATTCAGGAAAACTAGGCTTATTAGGCAAATCGGGCCTTGAATAGTAGGCTGAGAAGTGAGTTCTGGCTACTAGGTACGACATATATATATATATATATATATATATATATATATATATATATATATATATATATATATATATATATATATATATATATATATATATATATATATATATATATATATGTATATATATATATATATGTATATATATACATATGTATATATATACATATGTACCTAGTAGCCAGAAATTCGTACTCGGCCTGCTATGCAAGGCCCTATTTGCCTAATAAACCAAGTTTTCCTGAATTAATATATTTTCCCTAATTTTTTTCTTATGGAATGATAAAGCTACCCATTTCATTATGAATGAGGTCATTTTTTTTAATTGGAGTTAAAATTAACGTAGATATATAACCGAACCTTACCAACCCGATACTTTGCCAGATATTGGTAGTGACCACAAACCCGTCGGTATAAAATTTATTAACTTTCAGCCACCAACATATCCCCTAACGCTCCCCAAGTGGAGCATTAAGAAACTCGATAAACATAAATGGGCTGATATTGTCCGTCTCCCAGATACAGACGCTGTTGACCCCAACATGCGACTGTCTACAATCACCTCGGCCATAAATTCTGCAGCCACCCAAAGGTTCAAGAAAACTTCAGGACATAGATCAAACAAACCACTTAAACCGTGGTGGAACGCAAAATGTGCATGAATAGTCGCTCTACGCCGACGAGCCATACAGAACTGGGTCAATCTCCGGCGGGCCACAGCATCAGCCCCCCACAAAAAATTACTGTCAACAAAGGACATCATGGACAAAATGTTGAGTCAACCTCACCCACCACACACCATTTAAAAGTCTGGGCTACATTTAACAGCATTAAAGGTTAAC